CCCTGCTTGTGTTCCCTCTCTCGCTGTGTCTCTGTCAAATAAATAAATAAAATCTTTAAAAAAAAAACACTACAAGATCTCGTCTGTGGTCAATATTCAATCTGAATGCAAAAGCCGGGGCGTTGAGCCAGACCAGACCAGCCTGGGGCGTGCCCTGAGGGGCACTACTTTAGGGAGTGCTCTACAGTCTCTTCCAGTCTGGCCCACCCCACCCTAGCCAACAGGCACAGCTAGGGCAGCTAGGTTCTCCTGAAAACAAAATCCAGTCAGGCCTCAACTGAACTACTATTTCCCATTGCCCTCAGGAAACAGTTCAACCACTTTCAAAGGAAAGGATTTCTAAAACCCCTCTTCAGGTTTGTCTCTTAATCTCTCTCACCAGCTCACTCCTTAAGACTCCAGCCAACTGACCTTCTGAGCATTTCCTGGACATGCCCCTCACTCAGCCATGTGTAGCTCTCAGTTGTTGATACGGTCATGCTTCTGTACATTACCTTCCACCTGCCATTACCTTCTTTGGACAGCTGTGGATTCCTCACAGTCACTTCTCCGCCCCCCCCACCCCATCCACCCTGTAGACCATAGACTCAAGGGCAAGGACTACCAGATCTTATCCATCTTCATTTTACCAGACCCTAGTGCACAGCAATTGTTCAATAAATGTAAAATGAGAGGCCTTGAGTTCCTGCCAAAGGCTCATTATGCCTCTAACTTCCAGCTACCTTCAGTTCATAAGCTCTCACATATTGACAGATTTAAAAGCAGTGCTGCCTAGCTCTGTAACACATTCAGAGAGTAAAGTGATCACTTTTCTGAAGCATAAAAATCTAGCACATGGGAAAAGAATCTGAACGGATATTTCTCCAAAGAAGATATATAATGGCCAATAAGCATGTGAAAACACATTGAACATCACTAGTGAAATGCAACAACAGCCACTAGTGAAATGCAAATCAAAACCAGAGAGAGATACCACTTCACATGCACCAAGATAGCTATAATAAAAAAGACAGTTAAAAAAGAAAACAAAACAGTAGTAAGTGTTGACAAGGATGTGGAGAAATCGAAAGCCCTCATACACTGCTGGTGGGAAGGTAAAAATGGTGCAGCCTCCTTGAAAAACAGTCTAGCAGTTCCTCAGTTGAACACAGAGTTACCATATAACCCAGATATTCCATTCCTTAGGTATTTAGCCAAGAGAAATGAAAACACGTCCACACAAAACTCATATACAAATGTTTATAGCAGCATATTTATAATAGCCAAAAAGTAGAGACAACCCAAAATGGCCATCCACTAATGAATAGGTAAATGTGATATACCTATCCAATGGAATGTTATCTAGCAATAAACCTGGAAAACATTTCACCAAGAGAAAGAAGCCAGTCACAAATGACAATGTATCATAGGATTCCATTTATATGAAATATCCAGAATAGGCAAATGTATAAGAAACAGAAGTAGATTAGTAGTTCTGTGGGGCTGGGGTGTGGGGAGGGAGGAAGGTGGGAAAAGGGACTGACCTCTAATGGGTATGGGCTTTTTGAAGGGATGATGAAAATGTTCTGAAACTGACTGTGGTGATAATTGCACAACTCTGTGAATATACTAAAACCCATCAAACTCTATGCTACACGAAAGGTAAGAAATCATTCATTTGAGATCTTTTCCAGTCCAGTGATTTAGTTTCAAGAGACTGGGAAAATTGGACCTTTTTACAACCGTTTGTGTCCTTGGGAAGTATTTTTCTAAGTATCCTCAGCTTTTTGGTGATGTGTTAGAAGAATAAAAATCTCAAATTTGTACTTTTAGGGAAATTACCCGAATCTATTTACAGGCAGTATGTAATTGCACCAAGAGAAATATTATGCACAGCAAATGCACTGAGGCATCTTACGATCATACAACTTTTTGAAACATCGAGTTATTCATTCAAAAATACTACTTGAATGTTTATTACACACAAGGTGCATTCTAAGTGTTGGGGATTCAGCACTGAACAAAATTGACATCCCTGCCCTTTTGGAGTTTACATTCTAATAGTAGAAGAAAAGTGATCAATAAGCAAATCTTACATTAAATGGTAGAAAGTCCTCCCTGAAGTGACCTTTGAGCAAAGACCTAAAGGAGGTAAGGAATCAAGCCATGGGACATGTTGGGGAAGAGAGATCTAGGTAGAGGGAACAGCAAATGCCAACGTCTGAGGTAGGATAGAGCCTGGTAGGTTCAAGAAAGCGCAAGGACTTTGGTATGACTGGAGTAGAGTACAATAGGACTCCAGAGGCCTTTGTAAAAAGGCAGAGAGGCTTTTACTCTAAAATATGAAATCATTGGAGGATTTTGGCTCCTGTGGTGACAATAAGCTTCAGGAGGCCAAGGCAGATGCAGGGAGACCAGTTAAAAGGCCAGTAGAACACAGCAAGAGATAACGAGAGTGACCTGGACCAGGGCCGTGGCAGCAGAGCTGGGGGAGGAGTGAGACTGTGGCTGTCTTTTCAAAGTTAAGGCTAATCTTAGGAATGAAAGAAAGAGGTGTCAGGGTGATATAAGAATTAGTATGGGGCGCCTGGGTGGCTCAGTCGGTTAAGCGTCTGCCTTCGGCTCAGGTCATGATCCCAGGGTCCTGGGATCGAGTCCCGCATTGG